TCCCTGGAGGAAGGAGGAAAGCGCTGTTTAATGGAGGAAAGAGAGGCAGGGCACGGTGGCTCACGCCTGTAATCCCATCACTTTGGGAGAACAGCCTGGGGCAACATGGTGAGACCCTGTCTGTAAAAAGAAGTAATTAAAAAAATTTTAATTATTAAAAAACAGGAGGGAAGAGAGAGTCTTATGGGGATAAGGAAATCTAACGCCAAAGAATTTACAGCTGATCATTTTCTAACATATGGCCCAGGAAACTTTTATTTCAATGCAAAAAAAGGGATCTTGTACAGTTTGGAGTCAGGATTGTAAGCCTGCAATAAAATTCTAAGCTCCCTAACGACTGAATGGATCCCTCTCTTGGCCAAGGGGACCCCAAAGAAGCCTAAGAAAATTAGGTCATGACGGGAAGGGAAGGGCCAGACATGCTCAATATGCCGCTTCCCATGGAGTTTAGACACAGCTGACCAGGGACCAGCATTCCACATTACAACAGAGATCTTGAGACTGACAAATCAGCCTCTTTTCAGCAATAAGATACCAACTTCCAGCCTGATTCTGGTATAGCACCACATGACAGATAACAAGCCCTGAAGGAAATGAAAGTAATTCAGCCCACATATTTTCTTTGACATATTTCCGAAATGGCCCTGCAAAGCTGACTCTTGTGGGGGAAATTTGCATTCTGTAGAGAATCTCCTTCCTGGTCTGACACCTTTCTAAGGTCTGGTAAGAGACATTCACTTGATGTCTATTCTCTCCGAAGTCTGCTACCTGGAGGTTTCATCTACATAACAAGAACCTTGCCTTCCACAACCACCTGCTCCCACCTCCATCTACCTTCCCTTAATTCAAGTTGGACTTCAACTCTTCAGAAGGGCTTAACTCTTTCAACCATTGCCAATTATGAAACATTTGAAATCCACCCATGACTACAAGCTCCCTACCCTACCCCACTCATTGAGATGCTCCACCTTTCTGGGTCAAACCAATGTATACCTTATATGTATTGATTTGTGTCTTTGCCTGTAACTTGTCTCCATAGAACGTATAAAACCAAGCTGTAACTCAGCCACCTTGGGCATATATTCTTAGGACTCCTGAGGCTGTGTCACGAGCCATGGTCCTTAACTTGGCAAAATAAACCTCTAACTGATGAGATCTGTCTTGATACTTTTTAGTTTATAGATTTTATCCTGTGTTATCGTGATAAAAACTAAGATGGCTCTAGAAACCAGAAAGCTTGACGGTCTCTGATATAACTTCAAAAAAATGATCAGTGATGTCTGCTTCCAGGAGATGGAGTAGAAGTAGAATTTTCCTTTGTCCTTTTGCTAAGTACAATTAAAACCCTGAACATCATATATAAAGCAAACATAAGAGGACTCTGAAAGCCCAAGCAAGAGGCAGACCAGCTAGGAGCTTCAGCCTGTGGTGAGTTCCTTGGGTTTTCTTTTTGCCTCACATATCCTAGACTTGGACTGAAGGAGCCAGCATCTTAGGAATGCCAATGGGCACAGACCACAAAAGCCCCAACAAAAGCTGCCCTCTCTAGATAAAGGACCAGGAAAGGGAAGCCTGGTAAGACAGAGAATTGTAGATAACGACCACTCTACTTCAGACAAACACCCCAGCAAACACTGTGGCTTCATCAGGCCAGCCAAGGTTGGGTGGGGAGCCTGGACTTCCTCTTAAGGCTGTGACAAGGTGGCCCAAACTCCACCAGGGGAAAGTTGTAGGTGCCAAGTAAAGAACCAGGACTTCATCCCCTCAACCACCCATCCCTGGCAGTAATAAGACCCCCCACTACAGTGTCAGCAGAGACCGCCTGGGAGCCTGGATTCCGTGCCCCTCCTCCCCACAGTAACAGGCATTCTTCTCTCTGTGCATTGGGGTGGTGTCAGAGGAAGGCTAGTGGAGAATCGGCACTTTGCCACCTCCCAGTGTGACAAGGCACCCCCTTTTCCTGTGGTGTCAGCAGAGACCATGTGGAGGGATGCAGTAAGAAGGCGCTCCTACGCCTCCCAGCAAGGGAAGTTTAGTGGGGAGCTGGAACTCCTACTCCTGCCCAGCAACAATGAGGAGCAGCCTACCCATGCCCAGGTGTCAATGGAGACTGAGTGGGAAGCCTGGACTTCTGTCCCCACCAGGCAGGAATGAGGTGGCACCCCAGCCTTTCCCCTGCCAGGGCGATATCAGAACAAGCCAGTGAAAAGAGAAGGTTCAAATAAGATCCGGAGTTTCATACCATAGCACCCAAAAAGTCCAGGTTTCAATCAAAGATCACTTATCATACCAAGAATCCAGAAGATCTCAAACTGACTGATAAAAGACCATCATAGATGTCAATAGTGACATAGTGAGTATTAGAGTTATCGGACAAGATTTCAAAGCAGCCATCATAAAAAAGAAGTGCTTCAACGAACTATTTCAAACATACTTTAAACAAAAAAAATACAAAGTTTCAGCAAAGAAACAAAACTATAAAGAAGAACCAAATGGAACATTTAGAACTAAAAAATACAATAACCAAAATAGAAATTCCAGTGGACAGACTAAATAGCAGAATGTAGGGGGCAGAGGAAGGAACCTGTGAACTTGGTTTTGTTTGTTTGTTTGTTTTTTGTTTTGAGACAGAGTCTCACTCTGCTGCCTAGGCTGGAGTGCACCAGCACGATCTTGGCTCACAGCAGCCTTCACCACCTGGGTTCAAGTGATTCTCCTGCCTCAGCCTACTAAGTAGCTGGGATTACAGATCGCACCATTGTACTCCAGCCTGGGCGACAGAGCAACACTGTTCAAAAAACAAACAAACAAAACAATAAAATTTATGTGTAAATACGTAATATAATAAAACATGTTATTATATACTAAAAACTATACAACACTGATGAAAGAAACCAAAGGAGTTTTAAATAAATGTAGAGATATACCATGTTCATGTTCATGGATTGAAAGACTCACACAGTAAAGATGTCAGTTTTCTCCAAGTTTCACATACAGATTTAACACAACTCCTACCAAATCCCAGCAAGATTTTCTGAAGAATAGGTAAGCTTATTCTAAAATTTATATGGAAGGCAAAGAAACTAGAACAGCTAAAGCAACCTTTTGAAAAAGAAAAAGTAAGAAGAGTCTACTTGAGTTAAAAGCTATAATAATCGAGACTGTGTGGGCCGGGTGCAGTGGCTCATGCCTGTAATCCCAGCACTTTGGGAGGCCGAGGCGGGTGGATCATGAGGTCAGGAGATCCAGACCATCCTGGCTAACACGGTGAAACCCCGTCTCTACTAAAAACACAAAAATTAGCTGGGCGTGGCGGCGGGTGCCTGTAGTCCCGGCGGGTGCCTGTAGTCCCAGCTACTCGGGAGGCTGAGGCAGGAGAATGGCCGTGAACCCGGAGGCAGAGCTTGCAGTGAGCTGAGATCGACCAACTGCACTCCAGCCCTGGGTGACAGAGCGAGACTCCGTCTCAAAAAAAAAAAAAAAAAAAAAAGACAAGACTGTGTGTATAGATACATAGATCAACAGAACTGAACATAGAATCCAGAAATAAACTCACCCAAATCCATTTATCGGTTTTTGACAACGGCACAAGAGAATCGATGATGAAAGGAGAGCCTTTTCAACAAACGGTGCTGAAGCAATTGAGTATCCATAGGCACAAATAAAATCAAAGAAGATTGTGACCTAAACCTCATGCATTGTTTTTTAATTTTAGAGATGGGATCTCACTATGTTGCCCAGGCTGGACTCAAACTCCTAGGCTCAAGGAATCCTTCTGCCTCAGCCTCCTGAGTAGCTGGAACTACAGTCATGCAACACTGCACCTGGCTTCACACCTTATTCTTAAAATTAACTCAAAATGAATGATAGATTTAAATGCAAAATGTAAAACTATAAACTTTTAGAAAATCCTTGGATCTATGGCAAGTAAAGAGTTCTCAGACTTGACACCAAAAGCATAATCCATAAAAGTTATACATAAAGATATATTAGACTTCTCCATTAAAAACACAAAAATTAGCCAGGCGTGGTGTTGGGCACCTGTAATCCCAGCTACTCGAGAGGCTGAGAGAGGAGAATTGCTTGAATCCGGGAGGTGGAGGTTGCAGTGAGCCGAGATCGCATCGCATCACTGCACTCCAGCCTGGGCGACAGAGTGAGACTCTGTCTCAAAAAAAAAAAAAACTCTGAAAACTCGACTGTAAAGGAAAAAAAAAAAGAAAAGAAAAAAGTCAAATTAAAAATGGGCAAATGCATAAACAGATATTTCACCGAAGAGGAGATATACATGGAAAATAAGCACATGAAATTATGTTAACATCATTGGTCATCAGGGAAATGCACATTAAATCCACATTGAGGTGTTGCTAACCACTTACGGGAATGACTAAAAGAAAAAACAGTGACAGCATTAAATGCCGGCAAAAATGCAGAGAAAATGTGTTGCTCGTGTGTTGTTTGTGGAAAAGGAAAATGGTACAGTACGTTTGGAAAACATTTTGTCAGTTTCTTTCAAAACTAAATATGCAACTTGGTTAATGCGTACCAAAACTAGAAAGAATGAATAAGACCTACTATTTGATAGCACAATAAGGTGACTATAGATGATAATAACCTAATTGTACATTTAAAAATGACTTAACAAGTGGTATTGGATTGTTTGTAACTCAAAGAATGTTTGCGGGATGGATACCCCATTCCCCAGGACGTGCTGATTTCACACGTCATGCCTGTATCCAAACATCTCATGGACCCATAAATATATATACCCACTATGTGCCCACACAAATTTCAAGACAATTGAATTTAAAAATAAAAGTAAATATGCAACTACCATACCACCCACCAATTGCCACTCCTGGGTATTTATTACAGAAAATGAAGACTTAGCTTTATACATAAGCCTGTACACAAATGTTCATAGTAACTTTATTCATAAGAGCCTCAAACTGGAAACCACTCATATGTCCTTCAATGGGTAATGGTTAAACTGTGGTACATCCACACTGTGGACTACTACTCAGCAATAAAAAAGAATAAATTGTGTGGCTTTTGTTTTGTTGTTGTTGTTGATTTTTTAGAGAGAGGGTCTTACTCTGTTGCCAGGCTCCTGACTTGGCCCCTGGAAGCCCTGGGATTACAGGCGTGAGCGGTCACACCCAGCCAGAAATGAGTTGTTGATACACATAGCAACTTGGATGAGTCTCCAGAGAATTACGCTGAATGGAAAAAAGGGAAAAGAAAAAAACCAAAAACAGGTTAGGAGTGGTGGTTCATGCCTGTAATCGCAGCACTTTGAGAAGCTGAGGTGGGAGGATTTTCTTGAGTTTAGGAGTTCAAGACCAGCCTGGGCAACATAGCAAGACTTTGTCTCTACAAAAAATAAAACATAAAAATAATTAGCCAGGCATGGTGGTGTGTGCCTGTAGTCTTAGCTACTTGGGAGGCTAAGGCGGGGGAGGATCCCTTCAGCCCAGGAGTTCAAGGTTACAGTGAGCTATGATCACACAACTGTACTTCAGCCTGGGCGAGAGGGCAAGACCCTGTCTTTAAAAAAAAGTTCCCAAAAGTTACATACTATATAATTCCATGTATCCAACATCCTTGAAATGACAATATTATAGAAATGGAGAACAGATTAGTGGTTACCAGGGGGTAGGGAGGGGGTGGGGATGGTGGGAAAATGTGTGTGGGTAACTTGAACTTGAGAGACCCTTAAGGTGACAGAAATGTTCTGTCTCTTGACAGTATCAATGTCACTATCTTGGTTGTCATATTGTCCTACAGATTTGTAAGATGTTATTATCATTAGGAAAACTGGATAAAGGGTACATTGCATTTCTCTGTATTATTTCTTTCTTTCTTTTTTTTTTTTTTTGAGGCGGAGTCTCGCTCTGTCGCCCAGGCTGGAGTGCACTGGCGCGATCTCGGCTTACTGCAAGCTCCGCCTCCCGGGTTCCCGCCATTCTCCTGCCTCAGCCTCCCGAGTAGCTGGGACTACAGGCGCCGCCACCACGCCCGGCTAATTTTTTTGTATTTTTAGTGGAGACGGGGTTTCATTGTGTTAGCCAGGATGGTCTCGATCTCCTGACCTCGTGATCCGCCCGTCTCGGCCTCCCAAAGTGCTGGGATTACAGGCTTGAGCCACCGTGCCCGGCCCCTCTGTATTATTTCTTAAAACTGCATGTGAATCTATAGTTATTGCAAAATGAAAACTTTAATTTTTAAAGAAGCAAGTTAAAATATTTTTGGAAGCCCTGATGGGTTCACTGTTGAATTCTAGCAAACATTTAGGAAAGAAATTATTTTAAATTCTCTATAATCTCTTCCAGAAGATAGAACCAGAGGGAATGTTTCCTAACTCATTCTATGAGGCCAGCATAACTCTAAAACCCAAACCAGACAAAGACGTTAAAAGAAAACTATAGGCCAATATCTCTCATGAACATACAAGCAAAAATTCTCAACAAAACATTAGCAAATTAAATCCAACAATGTGTAGATAAAATTATACGCCATGACTAAGTGGAATTTATCACAGGTATGCAAAGCTGGTGTAACATTCAAAAATCAATTGATGTAATTCATCAAATCAACAGGCTAAAGAAGAGAGATCCCATAATTACATCAATGCACGCAGAAAAAGCATTTTACAAAATCTAACACCCATTCCTAATAAGAACTAGAAATAGAGGCGAACTTTGTCAACATGTTAAAGAACACCTACCAGAAACCTACACTAATATCATAATTAATAGTGAGAAAAAGAAGCCAAAGATGTCCTCTCTCATCACTTTTTTAAACATTGTACTGGAATGCCTAGTTAATGCAATAAGATAAGAAAAGGATATACAAAGTTTACAGATTGGGAAGGAATAAATAAAACTTTGTTTGCAGACGTCATGATCATCTATGCAGAACTTCTAAAAGTATCATCAACAACAACAAACCTCCTGGAATTAATCAGCAATTATAGCAAAGTTGCAGGATACAAGGTTAATAAACAAAAGTCAATAGCTTTCCTATATACCAGCAATGAACAAGTAAAATTTGAAATTAAAAATGCAATACCGTTTACGTTAGCACTCCCCAAAAATGTAATACTTAGGTATGCATTTACCAAAACCTATATGAGGAAAACTATGTAACTCTGATGAAAGAAATAAATATAGAGCTAAATAAATGGAGAAATATTCCATGCTTGCGGATAAGAAGACTCAATATTGTCAAACATTAGATATTCCCAATCTGATGTATAAATTCAACACAATTCCAATAACAATTGTGGCAAGTTATTTTGTGGATAGCAAAAAACTGATTCCTGGGCCAGGCACAGTGGCTCATGCCTATAATCCCAGCACTTTGTGAGGCCAAGGCAGGAGGATCGCTTGAGCCTAGGAGTTTGAGACCAACCTGGACAACATAGTGAGACCTTGTCTCTACAAATAATAAAAAAAAATTAGCCAGGCATGATGATGTACACCTGTGGTACCAGCTGCTCAAGAGGCTGACAGGAGGATCACTTGAGCCTGGGAGGTCAATGCTGCAGTGAGTCATGATCACACACCACTGCACTCCAGCCTGGGCAACATACTGAGATCTTGTCTCAAACAAACAAACAAACAAAAAACCAAAACACAACCCCTGATTCTAAAGTTTATATGGAGAGGCAAAAGACCCAGAATAACCAAAACAATATTGAAAGAAAAGAACAAAGTTGGAAGGCTGCTATAAAGCTACAGTAATCAAGATGGTGTGGTATTAGTAAAAGAATAGAAAAATAGATCAGTGGAACAGAATAGAGGGCCCAGACTCATACAAACAGAGCCAACTGATCTCTGACAAAGGAACAGAAGCAATACCATGGAGAAAAGACAGCCTTTTTGACAGATGGTGCCAGAACAACTGGACACTCACATGCAAACAAATGACTCTAGATAAAGCCTCTTATCCCTTTCACCAAAATTAACTCAAAATAGATCATAGACCTAAATGTAAACTGTAAACTATAAAATTCCTGAAAGATTGGCCAGGTGCAGTGACTCACACGTGTAATCCTAGCACATTGCGAGGCCAAGGTGGGACGATTGCTTGAGGTCATGAGTTCGAGACCAGCCTGGCCAACATGGTGAAACCCCATCTCTACTAAAAACACAAAACTTAGCCAGGCATGGTAGCAGGCGCCTGTAATCCCAGCCACTCAGGAGGCTGAGGTAGGAGGGTCACTCGAACCCGGGAGGCGGAGGTTGCAGTGAGCCGAGATTGCCCCACTGCACTCTATCCTGGGGGACAGAGAGAGACTCCATCTCAAAAATAAAATAAAATAAAATAAAATAAAATCCCTAGATGATAACATAGGAGAAAATATGGATGGTCTGCATATGGCAATGATTTTTTTAGACACTATGCCAAAGGCATGATCCACGAAAAAAAAAAATTGATGAGCTGGACTTTATTAAAAACTTTCGCTCTGCAAAATACACTGTCAGGAAAGTGAGGAGACACGCCACAGACTGGGAGAAAATATTTGCAAAGGACGTATCTAATAAAAGACTGTTATCGAAAATACACAAAGAATTCGTAAAACCCAACAATAAGAAAGGAAACAACCCAATTAAACAATGAACAAAAGACCTCAACTGACATCTCACCAAAGAAGATGTGCAGATGGAAAGCAGGCATATGGAGATATGCTCAACGTCATATGTCATTGGGGAACTGCAAATTAAAATAGCAGTGAACAAATTAGAATACCAGTACACACCTATTAGAACGGCTAAAATCCCAAACACTGACAACGCTAAGTGCTGGTGAGGAGATGGAGCCACAGGAACCCTCGTTCACTGCTGGTAGGAATACTCAATGATACGGCTACTTTGGAAGACAGCTTGGTGGTTTCATGCAAAACTAAATATATCCTTACTACATGATCCAGAAGTCGTGCGCATTGACATTGACCCAAAGGGATTAAAAACTTGTGTCCGCACAGAAACCTGCACGCAGATATTTACGGCAGCTTTATTCCAAGTTGCCCAAACTTGGAAGCAACTCAGCTGTTCTTCAGGAGGTGAAGGGATGAACAGTGGTACATCCAGGCAACGGAATATTATTCAGTGCTAAGCTTGATGAGCTATCAAGCCATGAAAAGATATGGAGGACATAAATGCATACTCCCAAGTGCAAGAAGCCAGTCTGAAGAGGCTACCTACTGTATGATCCCACTTAAGTGACATTCTGAGAAAGGTAAAACTGTGGAGAGAGTAAAAATATCAGTGACCGCCAGGAGTTGTGGGGAGGGAAGGATGAACAGGCCGAGCACAGGGGTGGCTTAGGGCAGTGAGACTGTTCTGTGGGCTGTAACCCTGGATATGTGCCATTGTACATTTGTCAGAACCCATAGCATGTGGAACACCAAGCGGGAATCCTAACCTCAGCGTGGGCTTTGGGTGTATGGTGTATCACTTTGGATGATGGTGTATCACTGTGGGTTCATCAGTTGTAACAAAGGCACGGCTCTGGTGAGGAATGTTGGTAGTGGGGAGGCTGCCGTTTTGGGGGGCATGGATTATATGGGAAATCTCTGCACTTTCTGCTCAGTTTTGCTGTGAACCCAAAACTACTCTAAAAAAATACTCTGGTAAAAAAAATAGAGACCCAGCGCGGTGGCTCACACCTGTAATCTCAGTGCTTCAGGAGGCCAGGGAGGGAAGATCATTTGAGGTTAGGAGTTTAAGGCCTGGGCAATATAGCAAGACCCTGTCTCTACAAAAAATAAAAATACAAAAACTTAGCTGAGTATGGTGGTGTGAGCCTGTAGTTCCAGCTACCTGGGAGGATAGCTTGAGGCCAGGAGTTTGAGGCTGCAGTGAGCTATGATCGCACCACAGCATTTTTAATCATTTTTAAATATATGAAGAGAACATCCATGCAATCACAGTCTTCAATTCTAGTTTCATCAGTGGCTGGGGCCGGGCAGTGCTCCCTGCTGCTCTCCAGCCTCTGCTGGCGGCCGGGGTCGGTCGCAGGATGGAGGCAGGGCTGGTGGAAGATGCCGCTCGGGGCTTCCTCCCTGCTCTGAGGCTATCGAAGGACTGCTGGAGAGAGAGCGCACAAAGCTCCGCGCGGCTTCACGGGGCCCCAGCTGTGCCCAGGTGCCTTCCTAAAGAGCGCGCCGCCTGCAGAACGGGAGGCCTCCTCCCTGCTTGTCTTCTGCCCGCTCCTGCTCTCTGGATCCTCTGGCTGCTCTCATCGTCTTATCCCGGATGAGGGTTCAACCTTTGAATTCCCTAAGACAGCGTATTAACTGACTCCGCACGGTAACTTCTTATGGTTTTAAGCCGCGCCCCCGCTGAAAAGGGACCCGTGCTGGCAGAACTTCAGGTCCTGGTGAGAGGTTTGTAAGGGGATAAGAGCATCCAAGCCGGATGGAAAATACACCAAGCCCTCTGCGGACCTTCCGCCGCCAACAGCATCTTCTCTCCTAAGGATGCTCCCCGGCTGCCGACTTTCTGTGCAATGCGCAGCCCGTGTTCACTGAGAGGAAAGAGCGATTTCAGTGCGTGTCATTCCAAACAACGATTGCTTCTCCGTGTCTATGAAAAAACAAGGTTTTTTTTTTTTTTTTTTTTTTTTTTTTTTTTTTTTTTTTCTTTCGGATAAACAAAACAAAAAACCAAAACCAACAGATAATTTAACCTTAATCACAAAGGTGGTCCGAGTTATTTAATAGGTACGGAGTAGAAAGATACGATTAAGGCTGGGTACCGTGGCTCACGCCTGTAATCCCCGCACTTTGGGAGGCCGAGGTGGGCGGATCACCTGAGGTCAGGAGAGCCAGACCAGCCTGACCAACATGGTGAAACCCCATCTCTACTAAAATTACAAAATTAGCCGGGCGTGGTGGTGCATGCCTGTAATCCCAGCTACTCAGGAGGCTGAGGCAGGAGAATCACTTGAACCCAGGAGGCGGAGGTTGCAGTGAGCTGAGATTACGCCATCACACTTCAGCCTGGGCAACAGAGTGAGACTCCATCTTAAAAAAAAAAAAAAGATATGGTTAAATTTGCACAGCTACACTCTCAAATAAGAACATGATACGTTAATTTGTATATTGCTTTAAAATAGCACTGGCTCTCCGCCAGACACATAAAAGATGTGATTTTCCAGCTTTATAGTCATTTTCTGTACAGTCTCTGGTCAGCATAGTGGCTTTATTCACGTCTGTATCTCGGCTTTCACTTCTCAGACGGGATCCCCTGCAAGTGGCACCTACTCAGCAAGTTCTTCTCTGCTGGAAGATCCTGCAGGGCTCATGCCTGCTCAGGTTGGCTCTTCCCTCACCTCCAGGCGTTAGTTCAAGTGCACCTGGCCACAGTCAGTGCATCCTTGGCCAGCGCAGGCTCCTTCTCCATAGGAGCCCGGGATTCAGGGTGAGCTCCCGTGTAATGTGGGGGGACTGTATCCCCAGCCCCCCACTGAGTTCCCTGCTCACACTTCCTCCAGGCTCTGCGGGTGGGCCACACCTGGTTCAGGATCTCCCTAGGCAGCCCTTTGCCTCAGGAGAATGCTGGAGGACACTGTTCCCTTTTCCTCTCTCCACTCGGTGCCTCAGGGCTGTGCTGAGGTGCCTGAACTCTGAAGGTGTGGCTGGTGCCAACTGAGACCTGCTGTGAATACAAGACACCCTGCATTTCAAATATTGGGTACACACAAAGGAATGTGAAATCTCATTTTCATTATGATTACACATTGAAACGATGGGATAAATAAAAGATTATTAAAACCAATTTTATCTGTTCCTTTTCAAATTTTAACATGTAGCTACTAGAAACTTTAACATTACTCATGTGGCTGGCAGATCTTGCTGCTGGCTGTGCTGCCGAGAGGGACAGCAGGATGGACGCAGCCCCCACAGAGGCAGCTCCCAAAGTCCCCATTTCCAGGTCACCTTCCAGCTCCCAGAGGTGAAGGGGGCCAGGTGGCTCCTCCAGCAGGGCGCCTCCCTGCTCGCCACAATGCTGACGGGACCGAAAGCACACACAGCAAGTGGGGAGTATGGCTGGCTGAGGGTTCCCTGTGTCACAATGCATGTCTTTACCTCTGGTTTTCTGCCACAGACTCTGGATCCCAAGGGTCCAAAGGGAATTGCAGAGGGGAAGAATTCAGTCTTCCTTTTCTCCTCTGTGGCTTCCGGTGGCTGCATTTGCAACTAGACTGTTCCAGACACAGCTCCACAAAAGACCGCTTCCTCCCTGGTTGCTTGCTCACTTATGTGCCCAGTGCCTGGGCCCGGCAGCCACACTTCTGTCTCCACTGCATTTGCACTTGAGTTTCCTAAACACCCTCTAAGTGGCCAACACTATTAATGAATGCACAAACATGAAAGAATATTCTCTCAATATATTTCAGGGTGGGTACTCATCAGATGAACACATTTTCAGTTACTAAGTTAATGACAACAATTGAAGACATTGGAAATTTTTATTCATCTTTGCTTTACAACAGAACCGAAAGCGTCAACTTAAGAATTCATTTTACCTGCTGGTTTCCGCAAGCTAGTTATGTGAACCATATTTTACAAATAATAATAATATTACAACAATAATTATGGAGAAGTTAATTGGATAATAGAGCTTTTCCACAATTCAATTAGAAACACAGAAGAAACTAGATAATTTTAAGTCCGCTAACTCAAGACATGCTGGTGCGAGCCCGGCCTGTGAGGCCCCATTGCCTGTGTCTCTTGGGGGCCTTAGGAAAGACTACAGTTTGCGTGCCTCTGGGGAAATGTCTACACTACAGAAAATCTTTGGGTGTTCAGTAGTTCTCCAGAGATTTTAAGTGGTATCATAACAGCCTATCTGGAGAACTTATTTCTAAATAATTTGAAAAACAAACAAGAAACCATTAGGGTTTTTATGCAGAGCAGCCTCCAGAGCAACATTCTCCAAGAGGAAGAGTCGACCGGAGTGAGCTCTCCTCAGGGCCTACTCTGCCCTCCCCTGCCCTGCTCTGCTCTCCACAGGGCCTGCTCTTCCCTCCCCTACCCTGCTCTGCCCGCCACTGCCCTGCAGACACTCTCCCAGGACTATGGGAACCCAAGCTCTCTCCTCTGGGCCAGACAAACAGTGCTCAGGCCACGCACCTCCTCAGAAAAGGGGGCACGGGTTGGCATGTCTTCAGAGAGCTCTGAGTAAACTCCCCAGGCCCAGGGACGCAGGGGAGCCTGGTGGTTGCTGCAGAGCCGACTTCACGTTCCCCTAAACAACCTTTCTAAACTAGAGATTTCTAGACTAAGACAAAATCAACACGCATTCACACTTTATACTCTACTGTACTCTACTCCATTTTCAACCCCTTGGATTTAAACTCAGTGTGGAGAATCTGTGATAAGCACCTTCCAAATTCCTCCAGGATCATCTGCTCTGCCAGGCACTTGGAGCAGTGTTCTTTCTCGGCTTCTTCTCCCTGAGCCAGCAGGCAGGCGCATGTGGCCTCCACCACCTCCCAGGAGATGCATGAGGAAGGCCGCCTGTCAGAAACAGAGCAGTTAAAGGCCACTCAACAGCGCATGGTTTCTACCTATAGTACTATTTATATTCAGCAGAATATTGCTTGTCCACACTATTTTAAAGAACATCATCCACTAAAATCTAATGTTGTCTTCCTCATACTGGAAACTATTAGGCCAGGCACAGTGGCCTGTAATCCTAGCACCTTGGGAGGCCAAGGCAGGAGGATGGTCTGAAGCCAGGAGTTTGAAACCAGCCTGGGCAACAAAGTGAGACACTGTCTCTCTTTTTTTTTGTGTTTTTTTTTTTTGTTTTTTTTGTTTTTTTTTTAATACTGAGTCTTGTTCTGTCACCAGGCTAGAGTGCAATGGCACAATCTCAGCTCACTGCAACCTCCGACTGCCTGGTTCAAGTGATTCTCCTGCCTCAATCTCCCAAGAAGCTGGGATTATAGGCATGTGCCATGATGCCTGGCTAATTTTTGTATTTTTAGGAGAGATGGGGTTTTGCCATGTTGGCCAGGATGGTCTCAATCTCCTGACCTCTTGATCTGCCCTCCTCAGCCTCCCAAAGTGCTGGGATTATAGGCGTGAGCCACCACGCTCATGACATCTTGTCTCTTAAAAAAAAAAAAAAAAAGAAAGAAAAAAAAGAAAGAAAGGATTAACTGCTTTTAGAATAACAACACAGAGGACAAGTAAATCTGTCAGTTTTTGACATCCCTCTCATGGCGGGTTTGAAATTTCCTCAAAATTAGATCCACCGACAAACCCAGAGGATCCCGGGCTACAGAGTCAAGTACGTGGGCCAGGTGGGAAATTGTGGAAGCAGGACTCTTAGCTGAGGCAGGACATGGGGACAAGCCAGGCAGCTTTGCTCTGAGTCCTGTCCATGCTGGGTGTCCACCTTTCCTCCCCACAGGACCATGTGCAGCCAGAGAAGGCCAACTGTTCTGAGGACTCGCCTGTCAAGCCTTGGGGTCCTGCTGTCAGGATGGCCTTCTCCCTCAATGCCGCTTGGAGCTGTGAAAGAGGTTCTGAAGGACAAGTTGCACCGTATTACACAGGACCAGCTATTCTCCTGGCTGAGCTCAGCGGGCAACTGTGGCTCAGCTAGACAGCGACCCAGGTGGTGCTAAGTTGACAATTTTTCAGGAAAACTTTATAAAAGATTAAAAAGCTTGGATTATAAAAATAGAGCAAAATTTTGGATTAAAGTCTGTCTATAAAGACAATACACAATGACTTTGGTTGAAGAAGAAGACAGGGTTGCCCTTGGGAAAAGAAGGGCCGTTAACACTGCAAGACCAGGCTCTAGTGCACAGGCCCCTGCCGGACTCCACGGAACACACACCCTGCTACAGGCGATGACATTTGCACACATCACTTCAGACAATGCAGCCAACTTTTGGTCAATTTTTACTGATAAAGACCTCTGCAGGTCGGCTGGGTGCGGTGGCTTACGCCTGTAATCTCAGCACTTTGGGAGGCAGAGGTGGGTGAATCACCATTCAGGAGTTTGAGACCAATATGGTGAGCTCCCATCTCTACAAAAAATAGAAAAATCAGCCAGATGTGGTGGCTTGTGCCTGTAGTCCCAGCTACTCAGGAGGCTGAGATGGGAGGATCACCTGAACCTGGGGAGGCTGAGGCTGTATGAGCTGTGATCGCACCACTGCACTCCAGCCTGGCAACTGAGTGAAAACGCTGGTCTCAAAAAAAAAAAAACAAAAAGCAAACAAACAAACAAAAAACACACCCCTGCAGGTCACAGTCATGAGTATTTCTGATACTCTCTAACCAAATAAGCATGAATTTGGCTTTGCAAAATATTAATTAATGACATCTGGTACTTTATCTTGATTGACCATTACACTGAAGTTTAAAAAGAAGTTTTTTTAAACAAATGAATGGAATCTAATAGATAGTAAAATTATGACTCAACCTTTGAGAACTACTAGGATTACAATGCGGCGTTAAAACTGATAAATGCAAAATTATCCAACTAATCCAGATCCACAGTCGCTTAGTAAGGAAAACAACTTGGACCAAGCACAGCTCTTTGCTGCCACTTCCCACAATAAAGGACAGGGAGGTACACGCTGTCTTTGCTGCCCCGGGTCGGTGTGGCTCTGTATTAACGCAAAGGCAGTGTCAGAACTCTGCTGGCCCTGCTGGTGATCCTGGCAGCAGGGCTCTTTCATCCGGTACAAAACAGGAGTAACTCAGAGAGTGAGGATGAAAAGGCCGAGCCGAGAAGACAAAGAGGACAAAACAGGTTTCCGCAGCAGGGCCTCTAAGGAAACACAGTCGCCACCCAGGATTAGCCCATGGAGGGAGGAACGGCTTCCCTCTGCCCCCTGAACACACGCCCGCCCCTGCAGGCTCACACATTCTTTCCAGTGTATAAATTGTCCTTAATTCTCCTCTTAAATTAACCTCTGTTCCCTCTATTAGCAGAGGTTAGTTCAAAGTACCTACCTATCCTGACTGAATTTTGGAAGTCCTGAAAATTTCGTTGGTGGCAGATGGCGACTGCCTTCCAAACCTCCAGCCTGCACATAGTTTGGCATGCTCATTAGTGTCTTTCGTTCTGGGCTTTCTTCATAATTTTTGCAACCAATGCATTTGCAAATAGAAGAACACATAATTTTGGCCTGGTAATACAAAATGCTTCAATAAAATTAGGTTGTCCCACAAGTCATCAAAAACTGACAAATTCTATTTGGACCTTAAATAATTCTTTGCGTATATTTGCCTGAGAGAGAGAGAGAGAGAGAGAGAGAGAGAGAGAGACAGACAGAGAGAGTGTGAATGTGTGGGTGAGAGCGTGTTGAACGTGTATGAGTGTGTGGAGTGTGTGTGTGTTGACTGTGAATGTGTGAGTGTGTTGAGTGTGAATGTGTGGGTGAGAGTGTGTGTTGAGTGTGTGTATGAGTGTGTGAGGTGTGTGTCGAGTATGCGTGTGTGTGCATATGAGTGTATGTGGGGTTTGGGTATGTATGTGTATATGTGTGAGTGAATATGAATGTGTGTGACTGAGTGTGTGCGTTTGAGAATGTGTGTGTGTGTGTGATCTGCAGTTTTCATCACACGCTGCTGTTGAGGAGATGCAGTAGTCTTGCTGCTGACGGAGCGGAGGCCGAGTGTGTGGGTTTGAGTCCCAAGCACAGAGAGGGCATTGCTCTCCCTTCTCCACCAGGGAGCCAATAGGCTGCTTCGTTTGACTTGTTTTGAAGAAAGCCTGCCTTAGCTGACTATAAAACTCTAGCTTATGGTTCTCTTTCAGCATGGGAAGCTATTATGCTGTTTCTATGGGTGCAGAGAATGTACAAGAGAGTAGAATTCGAAACCTGCCCAAGAGCAGGTCTGTGGCTGGGAGCTTTCAGGGGAGACCTCTCCTGCTGCCTTGCGGTTGCATTTTGTTTCAAGCTTTTCCTGGCAATGTGATGCTCAGGGGACCGGCATGTCCCATCTGTACCCAGCAAGCCCCTTCTTGCCCCCTCATGCCAAATCCTTGTTCATGTGGGCCCCAGGGGCTGACCAAGAGCTGGCACTGCCAATCACTATGGTTTTTGGCTTTCTCTTTCCTTCAGGCCCCTGGGGATTTCCCTTTGTTCTTTCCAGCTGAGAGATGCATCTTCAGGGGGATGTGTTCTGTTTCATCTGCACCTCTGGGTGTTTTGAAGCAGGAGGCTTTTCAGAGTTTCTAGTCTACACGAATGCCAGAGACTAAAGGACAGTGCTATTTTCCTGTGAGGCTGCACATTCTGTGGGCTGTGCCCAGCATAGGCTTGGCCTTGGGGAAATGGGCTGAGCCGTAGTATCGTGGCAGCCAGTGAGGGCGTTTTGCAGGACACAGGAGCTACTGTGAGTGCGGTTGGAATTGGTTCCTCGGGCGTGATGTCACTCCGTTTCAACTGTGCATCTCTGTCATGTTTTGACTGTGTTTTCCACCTCTTTGCTGGGGACTGTGGGGTCCACCTTTCCAGGTCTTTCAGTGCATGTCTCCAGAATCAGGAGGACTATTCTCAAGCCTGACCCTCTGTGACAGACAGCCTTTGAAAAGTATAATTCACAGGAACCCCCAAAAGACCTCAAGCAAACCAAAACAGAGGTTTGTAAGGAAGGTTTGCTCAGCTGCTCCCCTGATAGGGCCTAAGGGTTCCCTTACTTTCTCTTTCTTCCTTTCCCTCAACACAAAGGAAAAGGAAAAGAGAAAGAGCAAAGAGAGGTGAAACAGCGACAGCACTGAAGGGGAAAGTGGGTCCCTCTGCTGTCATTATATCTTTGGGAAAAGAAAAAGCTTCCGTCCAGGCTGTGATCTGCAGCTTGCTTTGTTAGCCTCCCTCCATTGGCTTCGGCTGACTGTCCATTCTGGTCTCTGATGGGCCTGTGAGCCAGGGAGGAGCTACCCTTGGTCAAAGCACCAGGTGAATGGATGTCTGGGGACAAGCGCCACAGGGACCAGGAACAGACTGAGTCTTTGAGACCAAACTGTCCCCCACGGCCCCACCTAGAGCACTTGGGCTTTGTTCAGGGAGGAAGAGGCACGGCTGCCCTCTGGGAGCCTCCACCCTGCTGGAGGACCAGCGTGGATCAGTGGCCGCAGAAGGACAAAGCCACGCAGAGGGCACCCTCACTGGGTACTCAGGGCTGGGCTCAGGGGAAGCAACATGCTCCAAAACAGCCCTTGGTGGATTGGCCTGGTTCACAAAGCTCAGCTGGTATTTGGGAAATTAATTCAGATTAATGTAAGTGCCCTTCTAGAAACCCTGGAAGAAAAAAATAATTATATTTATCTTTTTAAATTACAGCGAAGTTTTTTAACCACAAAAGTCACTCAAAATATTTACCTGTGTTTTTTGTTAGTGAGTTAGGGAGCTGGGCACTAACCTCATAGCACTCGCAGTAATTCTTCAGGCAGCCCGACCTCCTGCAGTTGCACCCTTTGTTGTGCCGGGGCTTGACATCGCCCAATTGGCCTTTCCCAATTTTTGGCTGGAAAGCTTCTGGATTTCTACCAAGACATGCCTAGGGTAGAATGGGAAGCTCCATCAGGATGGATATTATCATTCAAAACTCAGCTCAATGAAGGGCATCTCATTTGAATCTGGTTGTTGTAAAAGCTGCCACAGTAAGCAGTGACTCTCTTTACATGGTTCAGAAGGTGCAGCCCCTTCTTGTTTGATTTCAATTTGTTTCCATACACAAAAAGGTATATTGTAGCTAAGGTTTCTTCATGTTTTGTTTCCTGAGTTTCCAAGTCTTACATATTTACTGTAAAAAAAAATAATAGATGGTAAAGATGCAAAGAAAATAATTATTTCCGTGTGGACACGTTTCCATCCAGCATTTCTGGGGCCCTTTCTCCTAAAATGGTTGAGACCATGGACCATACTAGCAGCTCACACTGCCTCAACACACCGTGTGCCGGGCGTCTTTCCATGGGATTTGTATATACATGCCCTCTCATGTAATCCTCAGCAACCTCGGGAAGTAAAATCATCTACTGTATGATTGTTCTATACATGGAGAAACCCAGGCACCGAGAGGTAAAAAACTGCAGGTAAGTGGCAAGATCTCGATTCAAAGTCCCCGTGCTGACTTCAGAGCAGGTCTCAACCGTTGGGCCATGCCTTTCTCAAGCAATACACACAAGTTGTTATCCAGGTCTATTTGTTGTCCCTTTTTAATCTATCTATACACACAAATACATACATATCTTTACATACAAAATGATTCAATGCTCTTTGTAAAAATTCAAACAATAGAGAGGTCACAGTGGAAGTCCGTGGCCTCCCTTCCCCCTCCTGGGGTTGACATTTGGAATCGGTGCTATCCAGTAGCACAGCCCCCAGCACAAGGCCATCGCTGCACAATGTGCTGCTAGACAGCCCCAGCCTGCGGTGCGTGGCTTTAGGCATTTTCACGGATCACTGAAGTGTGACAGGCAGTGGAGGCACATATCTGCAGCTGTGGCATGATGATCTTGTGCACGTGCGCATACCTGTGTACCTGTGCACACCTGTGTACCTGCTACCAAGGTCAAGTTAGAGGACAGGCGGCCCCACAGGCTGCCTTGTGACTCCTCCCCAGTGGTGCACCCCCGCGGGGAACGCTATTCAGACGTAGAGGGCTTTAGGTTTGCCTATGCTGGTGCCGCAGGAATCCCACAGCTTGTACTCCTGCGTCAGCTGCCTCCCTCAGATAACAACTGGGAGGTCCGTCCGCACTGCTGCGCTTAGCTGTAGCTCCTGCTTTCCATCAATGTGTGGATTCATCCATTCTACCACAGATGGATGTTTGGGCTGTTTCCAGTGTCTGGTTACTCTGAATGAAGCTGCATGAACATTCCTGTATAAGTCTCCTGGTGGACACTGGTGCTCGTTTCTATTGGCTATATTTTTAGGAAGGAAATGGCTGGATCATAGCATACACACAGGTTTAGTTTTTGTAGCTATTGTCAAACAATTTCCCGAAGTGGTTGTGCCCCTTTATATTCCTATCAGCAATGTATGAGAATTCCAACCCTTTTTGGTTTTATAGTTTTAATTGTAGATAGTACTCTTATCCCTAAACAAAATGTACTCAAGTTTACATGCATGACAATTTTCTTCTGTCCTATGGATCTGGCTATATCAAAATTGGTAAGATATTTCAAGTCCTTTATCCATAATTCAAGAGGAGAATTAAATTATTTTAGAAAACAATGCAGAGCAGCCACACCCTTATAATTGTGTCCTATTTGCACAGGACAGTCTCAGGTCTACAGTCGATGGCTCTCAATTTCCCTTCGTGAATGAGTGGCACTGGAAGTGTCTCCCTGGAGTGGGTTGACAACCCTGAGCCTAACTGTCCCTCCCTTCTCCCTGATTATCTTTTGTGCCTACAGAAAGGGATAAAAGCTGCAAGCTCCTGTGTTTAGCCTTCAGCAGAGTGGTCATCAGGGCCATCGAAGTAACCTTTTGCATCCCTGTGAAAACCTAGATTCTTTTCTTCTGGAAGCTGAGGGGTAAAATTTAAATTGTTAAATTTTACAATTGAAAATGTAGGCTGCCTGAGCACTTTCACCCAGCCTTCTCACGCAGTGGACTGTCTACACGTTTGCGACTACACTGCTCCAGCTCATGCTTATCTGCTATGTGAAATGACCCCAAATGTCTAAACTCCAAGGCAAAGTGGACATTCGCATGTTCTTGAATCAGGACCTTCCTAGGCTGCTGCATCTCTGAAGACTTCCCACATAATAAAGGGCAAAAGGCCTTTCTCTGCCTACCACTTTTATAACAGCTGCTTGTCATGGTTCAATACTCCCACCAGCAGGAATCAAGTCGTGTTCAATGTAAATTCTTCAAAACTGTGGATTTTTTCCAATGAGGAATCTCTGGAGATCATTTTATGAACATCTCAAACAGTTTGAAATGCTTTTAAAATGCATGCATTTAATGTACATTTATTACCTTAATGGCTTTAAACCGTTCAATTTCATGATGCAAGTTATTGCAACAATTATTACAATTGCAGTTGTTGCAAAAGTCTCCACTGGCGAAGCAGTCGCAGTACCTGTGAAGGAAAGGACAGAGTGAGTGGCAGGCACAGACAGCACAGTCAGTAGTGAAAAGAAGAGCACACACGTATAAGGAAAGAGCAGGCAATGTGCTGCAGTCAGAACACTGAATGCTTTTACAGATGGCTCAGACTCCTTTTTATATGAGAACTAGATCAACTAGGATGATGCTCACCAGTGACTAACACAGAAGGGCGTAAAACTAGTTAAAACCATTCGTTTCATAATATAGGATTTTGCAAAGCAAAACAATTTCCTGGCAAATCCATTGCCATCCATCAATCCTCCCTGGCCCCTAATTGTCCTCTGCCATTTTCCCAGGAGCACGGTAAGTTTGGTGGGCAGAAACATCAAGTAACAAAGAGCTGTCTTCCCACCAACCACCCCAATCCATCCAACATGACTGAAGGTGTGTTCACTTCTTCACGAGACCTTGACTTTGAGTGAAAACTAATGGGACCCAGAGGTGGAACCTGGCCTAGGCCTTATCTCACTTTCATTCTGTGAGGGGGAAGTGAATGGCAGAGGAAATGAACGGATGAGGCGGCTGCAGTCACACCTCTTGGCTGTAATGCGAGGGTTGTTCGGGAATCCTGAGTCTAGTGAAGCCCTTGGAGCGCACACCACCGTGCCCTGTGACTCCTGGGGCCACACAGGTGGGTGGCAGTGCTGCGGACTGGCTCTGAGGGCTTCCTGGGAGAGCCGGCGGTGCTGGCAGCCGGTCCCCCTCCCACAGTCTTCTAAGACGCCTGCTCCTGCGCTGTAAGCAGAGGTGTTCACAGGCATGCGCTTTACCCTTCCTGGGTTGGGCAGGGACGACGCTTTCCTTTATTCATGTGAAAATGTAGCATCAAGGCAAGGACTCCTACTGTGCTGCCTATGACCCGTGCCCCAGAGAGCCTGTGGGGCGTTTGTCAGCCACCCCATGGCTTCCCCCTCTGACCAGAGAAGACCCCTGTCGCTGTCTTCTGTGAGCATGGTTCATCGAAAAGAGCTTCCAACTCGTTTTCCACACAGGCTCTGCCTCCCTCTCCCCATGCGCCAGTCAGCTTTGCAAGCTGTAGAGTGGGAATCGTGGTGCTCAGCCTCCCAGTCCCAAAGCGCGGCTGAGGGAAACCCTGGGCGTGTCAAGCTTCCCACAGTGCTGCAGGAACATGGTGAGGGCTGTGCGGGGGACCAGAGGTCTGCAGAAACCTCTCTGGGGCAGAATTCCCAAACACATTCTTTCATAATTATTATTTTCATATTTTAAAATAATATTTAATGTCAAGTCAACAGGAGAGTAAAGAAGATCATCAGAGGCCAAAAAGACAAGAAATTGTGAACCCAGAGAGGAGTTCTGCAGCAGCTGAGTGCTGCCCTGGGGCATCTGCCAGTCCCGAAGGACCGGAGCTTGGTTTCCAATGTGCTGCTCGTGCAGGAGACGGAGACAAAGTCTGGGCTGTCAAAGGTGAGCATGAGACCAGAGACCCCTCATCAAGTGTGGATCCCTGAAAGGCGAGCTCCCCAAGGAGTGAATTATTAGACACAACTCCACTCCACAACAGAGGAGAGGAGAGACACATCCCCCGCGGGGGGAAAGGGGAACTATAAAGGTCCTCTCCCGAGCCTGCAAGCCATGCAGATGGAGAGAAGGGAAAGGGGGACAGTGACAGAAGTTTGGACACCAGACAGGCAGAGGGGTAAGAGAACTGGTGTGGCAGACTCAAGAATGCTGAACCCGAAGTCAGCAGGAAAGAGCTGGGAAGGAGCTGTGGAAGGCTCTGGAATGGGCAGCACCAGGTTCTTCCATGGGACAGAAAAGCCAGGTGAGATAAGTAGAGAACCAGGGGGATTCTCTGCAGGAAGGCACGAGTCCCAGACTCCTCCTCCTTCCTAAGCAGCTGGGACCCCTGCCACAGTGGCAGAGACTACAAGTGACTCTCTTGGAGCAAAACCACTGGGTGTGGGAATATGATAATGAACAATCCAAGAAAGTGAATGTTGAGACCCTAGGTTTCTTCTACTTCAGCTTCTAGCATTCTAGCAGGAGACTAGAAAAGCCTCTTTGAGGACCCTGACCAACCCAGGAGAAAATATCTAGAATCTGACATTGAGTTTTTCCAATAAAATAGCTGAGTGGACCACCCTGTGGTGGAGCTACAGTGAGCAAGCCCTCAGCAGTGCACCTGCAGCCCCAGTCAGCCCACCCCTCACCTACAGCCCCCAGGGAGCCCACCCCTCACCTACAGCCCCCAGGGAGGCCACCCCTCACCTACAGCCCCCAGGCAGCCCATCCCTCAGCTACAGCCCCAGGCAGCCCACCCCTCAGCTACAGCCCCCAGGCAGCCCACACCTCATTCTTTTTTTTTTTTTTGAGACAGAGTTTCACTCTTGTTGCCTAGGCTGGAGTGCAATGGTACGATCTCGGCTCACTGCAAACTCCACCTCCCAGATTCAAGCGATTCTCCTGCCTCAGCCTCCCGAGTAGCTGGGATTACAGGCATGCACCACCACACCCAGCTAAATTTTTGTATCTGTTTAGTAGAGATGGGGTTTCACCATGTTGGCCAGGCAGGTCTTGAACTCCTGACCTCGTGATCCACCCACCTCAGCCTCCCAAAGTGCTGGGATTACAGGCATGAGCCACCACGCCCGGCCCACACCTCATTCTTAAGTGTGAACCAAGTGATGCCCAGGGATCCGCAGACACATTAGGAAATCTTCCAGGGTATGAAAGACAGAGGCCCAGAGAAACGGACCATGCATGGAAAAGAAAACTAGGAGAAAGGTGGTATCAACGGCCTTAGAGAGACTAAGAAAAATTATTGATCTATGAAACAGGAAAACGATTCTTATAAAAAATCTCAGGATACGAAAAAAGATGTTTTAGGAAGCAAAAAAGTAATCACAGTGATGAAAGACCTAGAAAGTATGAAAACTAGAACTAATCAGAGGAGAAAGCAACAGTGGGCCAGACTAGAAAATCCAACATTTATGCAGTAAGAGTTCCAGAAATACTGAATATTAAGAATGAAGGGGATACAATAATTCCAGAACATTTCCCAGAACTCAAGGCCATGAGTTTCTGAAGGGAAAGGACCCACCTTGGGCTCTGCACAGTAGCTAGAAAAGAGACTGGAACCAAGACAGCATGAGCACATTCTGCAGCACCGGGAATAAG